ACAAAAGATACCAAATCATCTGCGGCGATGGTTGCAAGTAGACTTGCAGCGACTGCAGCAGAAGAATTGGGAGGTGGAATTGCAGAGTTGCAGAAGCGGACGCTGCTTAGTTGAGCTTGTGATCCATCCAGTGTTAAACTGCACAGGACAGTAAGGTTGTTGTCGTCGTCGTTATGCAAGTGAAAGTCGTCGTCCTCATGATTCAACTCGACACTGAGCGTTCAGTTGTGACGGTCCAAGAAATCGAACATGCGGAGCGCCGACCGGGGGATCGTTGGTTCAAGGAAGACTCTCAACGCGGGGGAGAGGTACAGAGGAAGCTTCTGCAATGATTAGGGTCTTTTGGTGGAGGGATGTGGGCGACTGATGTAGAGGTTGCGTGGAAGCGTGACGGGGATGGGACGTGGTCAGTCGGGTTCCACGTTTGGTCGGTCGATGGGTGTCGGTCGAGGTGTGAAATAATGGAACGACGGCGGCGGGCAGCTGCGACGGGGCCCAAAAAACGCCAGGACAAGACTAATTGTTAGTGTCGCGCTGGTGCTGGGCGAAGGCTTGGAAGACGTTGTGGAAGATTGTGTTAGTCGCAGGAGGAGGGGCGGATCAGGTAGGTTGGGAGGAGACTGGTCAATGTTCACCGGAGGGCCGACTGTAGTCGCTGCTTCGGTGTGAGTGGATGGGTGGTTCGATGGGATTGCAGTGCGGCGCGATGCGGTGCTGGGTGGTGTGGTGCATGCAATCTTGGTCGAGACGAGAGGGATGCGGAGAAATAATATGCGGCCAAGACAAATTAAAACATTTCTGAGCGGATCCCAGCGTAGAGAGGAGAGAGACAGAGAGAGAGAGAGAGAAATAGAGGAAGTGCTGTCGTTCGGAAAGGATCAAGTACCCTCGTAGGTGGTGGTAGTTTAAGGTACGGCGATATGATCGATCGGGTGGTGGTGGTAAGTGGGTGGTAAGCTGGAAGAGACGGAGACGTGAACAGAGACAGGACTAGCGACACCACCAGATGGACCAGGAAAGGTGCGATCCAATGTGAGGTAGGGGTGAGGTGCAATGTGCGCGGTTGACGTTTGGTGCTGAGAGTGTGAGGCACAGCTAGTAGAAGGTTCCTTGGGCTAGTTGTGTGTCCGTACCGTGCCGTACCGCGCTAGAATCTCGGAGTGGCCCTCTAGCCTCTAGGTAAAGGTACGGAGTACTGTGTATGCGCTCCCCTCACCTCGCACCTTGGATACTTGGCACAAATAGTGGCCACCTTAGGACTTAGGTGAGGGATCAGGTAGCTAGACCGGCAGACGGCGGTACACTACTGAGTATTGGGCAGGTATCTTTCGGGGGGGAGGTGGAACCGTGGAACCTGCCGATGGTGGTGGCTTGGTGGCAGCATCTGTCGGGGAACATGGGACGACTTTCCCTACAATGTGAGGTGACTTGCGCTCTTCAACCCCTGTAACGCGCACAGGAGACAGACATCCTCAACCTGAGATTCAAAATGCGACCTGCAGGGTCGAAGAATGAAGTAACCGTAGACGCACTTGAGTCTGGGGGAGGGGGGAAAGATGGAGCGACAATCGATGACTCTGCTCGCCCTGATGTTTCGGTACTCGGAGTGCCTCTGAGACCTGGAGTAGACTGTAACGACTTGTTAGCTACTTGCAACTTGCAAGCAGCACTCCGTAAAGGCAATAGAATGGAAAGAAAAGCCATGGACCTCATACAGCAGTGACTGCGTGCCAGCGCAAGGGGGGGCCAAGCCAGGGGCGTTTTGGCGTCACTGCCAAGCTGGAGACCGTCCCTGCTCCAGCTCTGGGGTGTCTGATAGGGGGATCGTCCCACTAAAACCTGACACCCCGTCCCACTGGGTACCGGCGCTGACGTCTGCACGTCTTTGGATGGTGAGACAAATCCAAGAGCAGGGAAGAACTTCTTCCATTGCAACAGAAGCAGGAGGGTGAGGGCCACTAGTGATGAGCTACCACGGTATCCGTAGCTTGACCAACCAATGCCCTGCCTGCGTCAAAGAAGAAGCAACACGTCAAACGGTTAGGTTTCTCGAGGAAAACCACCGGACCAGGTATCGAGTCGAGGTGTGCGTCGGTGTGTCGGCACACCAATGGATGGCATGCCGCATAGAGGAGGGGAAACAGACGCAGCCAGAGGAAGAACGATCTGGACCAGAAAACATGGAAAGCTTCCACGGGTATGCAGTAGATATCAATCAATGGAGAAGAAAATAAAGTTGAGGGGCGGTTTGGGGCCTATTTTGGGTCGATGAAAGTTAAACAGCAGCCGGAAAACTTGGGGGATCCTGAGATGAAAGCAAAGCTCGAGACACCTCATAAAGAGACAGGGAAACAAGCACAAGCACCTGGCTTGCACCTTTTGGCTTCCACAAGTCTGCGCTCTGTGTCTCCGAGGGAAGCACTCCGGATGGCCGGCCCCTCTCGCCCACCTTACTGTACCTTTGAGTGAGAGGTGAGGGACAACGTCTTGCGAATGCTGCTTCTGGCTAGCCGCCCACAAACACCCTGTGCCAGTGATGCGTAGAGTCTCAAACATCAGACCTTTGATAAGCTTTCTGCGACATTCCAGAACTGAAGAAGAGTGTCACATTTCCGCTCTTCTCCCCGGCTTTTCCTTTTCCTCATTCTCTAGGTCCTGACTGGGCCACCTGGAACTTCTGGGCCGACCGGAGACTTCTTGAAGGGTTCGGCAGGGCGGCTCGTCTTGGCGTCCAGTAGAATCGTACATCTTTCCACAGTCGGATAATGGTGCCGACGTGGTGGCTTTTTCTCAGTTTTCCATCCAGCCAGCCAGGTCAGGCTCCATTGGTAATGATGGAAGGACACGGATTGGAGCAACTGGCCGCTGGAGCATTGGCGCGCGCTTCTTTGCTGATTCGCCGTTCACGAGTCGTGGCACCCTCCTTCACGTCGTCGAGGACACCTGCTGTCTCGTCTTCGCTTGAATGTCAGGCAGCGCCGCAGCCAAGTTGCCCTAGGGGAAAACTCAACGATGCTTGTTTGGAAGGGACCGGGCGTCCGTGTTTCCTGCAATATTGTTGGATGTGTGTCCGTGTAAGTCAAGCTGCGTGGTTTTTCCAACCTCGTATCGTGGTGGTACGCTCGGTTGGGGTAGCTCGGAGCGGCCATCATCCTGTTCAACTGGGCCCGAGGCCGGTTTGCAAGCGTCAAGTTCCTAGGCGGGCTTCGGCAACATGCCACTCAAAAGGGTCAAGCTCAAAGAACCCTGGAAACATGACTGTGCTGGAACCGGCGAAGCGAAAGGGTCGAAGCCCATGTTTTAGCGGGCATGCTCGTCGAAGTTTCCCATCATCCCGCCCGTGGACGGACCGTGACACTTGGGTGGGAATTTACCCATGTTTGCGTGAAAGAAATCGGTCTTGAGAGGTGTAGGTCCGTGAGCTCGATTGGCGCTGCGACAGCCAGGCACTGTGATCGCCCGCTCTTCTGGAACGCGGATGCTTTCTGGCGAGAACAGTCTGGCATGTGTCGTGTGAAGCAAAAGTCGCGTGGCGAGCTCGACGTTCGTAAGTGTGGCCCGGGTAGCATTTCGCGTCAGGGGAGCTGCTTTCGGGTGCCTGATCGACCATGATAGATGCCTCATTGGAGTTGGGGGGCCGACGTGCGATGGAGCTAGATGATCGAAGAATATGATGACGAGGCTTTTGTGCCCGAAGGCTGACCGGCTGACAAGGTCCTTGAAAGGTGGTTGATACCCATTATCCTTGGTAGCGATACCGGTGGCTGCTGATATGAGGGCCGTCGCTGTGGCGTTGGGTTGTTGATGTTGATGTTTATGTTGTTAGCAGAGAAGCTGTGGGTGTATAACCTCACGATGTTTTTTTTTTTTTGGGTGTAAGACAGTTGTCAGAGAACCTTTCTAAGCAGACGGAAAGAAAGGGACAGGCCGTTCTATATACCACAAAATGCCCTGGCCAGCATTTGCACCCGCCAACCCAGAATCAGATCTGCCTAAGCTATAATTAATCAGATGGGCAATCTCGCAGCACCAGACTACCAGTCGCCAGCCCAAAAAATGAAGACAAGCAGCAAATGCCAAAAGCAAACACACGGGTTAATCACACCTTGCGTGGGCCATGGGCCGTGGTAAGCTCTCTGAATCACCGGGACTCATCATAATCAGGCCATGAGGACGCTCAAGTGGCCTGACTTCCCACTCGCGCCGTCTTCCTCATTGGCTCCGCTACCTTTTGCCCTGTGCGGTTGGCACCACCTTTCCCGAATCCCTCCCCCTCCAGGGCCCGTAAGGAACGGGACCCTCGTGCAGCGTGCCTCGTGCAGCGTGCCTCGTGCTCCCAACCTAAGTCCCAAAGTCCCATCCCACAACAGGACCCCTTCCCGCCCTGCCCGCGTTTAACCCCCCGTGCCCCCCCCTTGATTCCCGTGCCCGGGCAGCATTCGGCAGACAAACCCCGGGTATCTTCACCAAACCCAATGCCAATGGTAGGTGACCCTTGCGCTCACGTGGAGGGAGCATCGCATTCTTTCTTATTTGCGTTTTTGGTAGGCCCGAATTCCGGGGTACGCTTTCTGCGCCGGCTGTGAATGCGAACGGGATATTGGGGCCTGGCACGCGTACACGGGGCGGTGCGGTGCGGGTGCGCGGATGCGGAATTTTGAGTTGGACGACATGGGACTGCAAATTATCTAAACCGCATGGGATCAATTTAGACATTCGATATTCTTAAACGTATTTGATAGCTTCAATTTACAGTTCAAAACAAAATAGATCAAGTCCAACGTTGACACCCAATGGCAGGTAACTACTCTATGGGAACCTCGCACTCAAGTGACCCATCGCAGCAATTCTCGCAAATGCTCCAGCTGCAACCTTAGTCATGCAACCACACACACACCTCATTCTTACACTCACCATCTGTACCTACGTCATTGTTCAGTACAAAGCGTGAGTGAGTGAGCGGCCGACTATCACCGTCCCAACCAGAGGCAAAGGGAATAATGACCTCACAAGACCACGCGGTCCCAGAGGAGGACCCCTTGGCCGAGCTCATCACCACCTACAACGAGCTCAACGGCGCCCTCATCGAAGAACTGGACGAGGAGCCGAGCCCCCTCGAGTTCATGCGCTACGTCGCCCGCAACACCCCCTTCGTCGTCCGTGGCGCGGCCTCCTCGTGGCAGTCGAATAAGACGTGGGATAAGGACTATTTGCTGCGCATGTTTAAAGATCAGACTGTGAATGTTGCCGTGACACCTTTTGGGTGAGTTTTGAAGAAAAAAATCTGTGCCCTTTCTCCTCATTTTGGATGGAGGTGAGATTTTTCACGATCCTCGACTTACACGGTTTCTTCACACGCAGCAATGCAGACGCTCCAACCGACCATGAAGGAAATGTCGTTTTCGCGAAGCCGCATGAGGAGGATCAGGACTTCGAAGAGTTTCTCAACTATGTAATCAACCAAGAAAAAAGTAAAGATACGGCCTCGGAAGTCAGATATGCTCAAACACGTATGTCATTCCCACGCTTCCAGCTTTCTCACCACCCTACTCTCATCCTCACTTGTCTTCATGTAAACACTTTCATACTGCAGTCACAATGAAAATACCCCAATCGCATCCAAACCTCACTCATTCTCATAGAGTCTCAAATCAACTAACTCCACCCCCAGAAAACGACAACCTCCGCAACGAATACCTCCCCCTCTTCACCCACGTACCCCCTTCCATCCCCTTCGCCCGCATCGCCCTCGACCGCGACCCGGACGCCATCAACCTCTGGATCGGCGCCTCCCGCTCCGTCACCGCCCTCCACAAGGACAACTACGAAAACATCTACGTCCAGGTCCGCGGTCGCAAACACTTTGTTCTCCTCCCACCCTGTTGCCATCCCTGCGTCAACGAGACGGCCCTCGCGCCGGCGACGTATTCTCGTCGCGGAGGAAAAGATGGTGAGCTGGTGTTGAATATGGACCGGGCCGCCAAAGGCGATGAAGCAGAAGAAGGAGAAGAAGAAGAAGAAGAAGAAGAAACGGCAACATCAAATACCATCCCCTTTGCGACGTGGGATCCGGAACAGCCGCATGTCAACGCGACGCCCTACTCTCACCTCGCCGAGCCCGTCCGCGTCACGCTGGAGCCGGGTGACATGCTCTACCTCCCCGCCATGTGGTACCACAAGGTCTCTCAGTCCTGCCCAGAAGACGGAGAAGGCTTCGTCCTGGCCGTCAATTACTGGTAAGCCTATAGATATCCACACATCACGAGTTGTTACCCCCCGGCATGCTGACTTGACTACCACACCAGGTACGACATGGAATTCAGCGGACCGTTATACCCCCTCAGCGCCTTTGTGAGGAATGTCAGCCTCAAGACAGCACCGGTAACTTCACAAGGAAAGAAAACATAGCACATGAGCAAGCAAGGCCTGAGCATCAGAAATAAGCAGTACTATCGCCTTGATTGAGTCTCTTCTCAATATCAGCACATCCCCCTTTCCGCCATATGTACATTTGTGGTTGTGTTTGTGTGCGGATATACGCCCAGATTACCTAGAAAGGGTGGCGTGGCTCTCTGCCTCGCTCACTGTCGAGAGGCATTCCTTTTCCTCATCGTTTGTTTCATCCTCCACCAGATTTCGGGCTCCATGCAAAGCTCTGGGCTTTACCAGGCCTAAGTGAGTTGATGAAGAAGCCCCCCTTTCCTCCCAACATAAACGCCAGCTATTTGAAGTGAATCATGATACACTAGTTTTCTTTTCCCCGTTCCCGCCCACCTCCACCAAAAGTTTCGTCTTCATTCGCTTTTGCCTTGGTTGTTATGCATATAGTATAATCGCAGGAGACAGATCCAAATGGGTATGCGTTGAGGTGATGAAAATCAGAGGCGGCAAGATGCCTGCCTCCACCAAGGAAATGAGTTCAGGTCCCAACTCCAGCAGGCAACTTGGCCTGAGAAATACAAAGGGCGAATGCATCCTAATGGTGCAGCCCAGCCACCGATAACACCAGAAAGACCGATCGAGATTAGTTGAGGAATCCCTTGCACGCCGCCGTACCGCAAAGGCAGGGGATGCGGTCCAAGCTGCCAATCTCGCGCTCAAATTTGTAGTCGTATGTCAACTCCTCATCTGCGCAATGTTAGCTTCACTTGAAAACACAAAAAGAGGATCGAACTTGGGTAGCATACGTTGAGCAATGTCGCGGAGCGCATAGATAACGATGCGCTTGGTTCCGTCGACCTTGATAATCTTGGCAGTGCAGTTGGGCATACAGCTGTGGTTGATGAAGCGAGCAATGCCACCCTTCTTGGTTGCGTCGATGACTGTGTTATCGTCGATGCGGAACAGGTAACTGCTGCCCATGCCGCTCTTGAGATAACGCTTCTCCCGAATCTCCGAAATTGACTGTCTGACCTGCTCGCCGACGTACTCGATGATCATGTCATCCTTGTTGATATTCTCCTCCGTATATAGACCCCAATTATGAATAGCAGAGCGGGCAAACTTGACAGGCTTCTTCCGCTTTTTAAGCTGGTTGAACTTGAACGCGTCAGAGTCGCCCGATATCTTCTTTTCATCTTGGAGTGCAGAGACATGACGACGGTTGTTGGCACGATTTGCTCTCGAATTGCCCTTCGCCACGGCCTTTTCTGCTACAGCAAGTCTGCTAGCTTCAATGGCTGCGTCTTTGCCGTCCTTATTGTACCGCGCTTGACGTGCTTCTCTGGCCTTTTGAACCTTGATGTGGTGAGGTAGATACTTGGACTTTTCGGCGTTGAGGATCTTCTTGACACCCTCGGTTCGTGCAGCGCCGGTGGAGTTGGGTACATAGTAGCCGTCGATGCCCACAGCCTGGTCAACCGATCCAGTGGCAGAGTTGAGCTCTCGAACACGATTACGCCGCCACAACCACAGAAGCGGGTCTCCGAAATCTGTTCCAGTAAACCTCTTCCTGAGTTTCGATATGTCTGGGCTGTCAGCCGCAGATAATGACAGCTCTTGCAATGCAGAGATATCGAGCCTGAAATCACCAGACAGACCGAGGGCTGGAGCTGGCGTGGTAGTGAATAACGAGGGATCTGCTTTGGCCTTTTGCGGCTCTGGCTCTTCCTCTTTCTTCTCCACTGGTAAAACCTCGGTCTCAACCTCTTCCAGCAGGGGTTTAACAGGAGCTGGTGTCTCTTCTTCAGTCTCTGTGAGAACCTGGACTTGCTGCTTCTTCAAAGCCTCCCTTTCCTCGAATATTTGCCTCTTGGACTTCTTCTTTGACTTCTGCTTCTTTGCTAGCCCCTTGGCAGCTGATAGCGCAGGAGTCTCCGAGCGATTGCTCTGTGTCTCGAGTAGATCAACATCGGGGGTGGCCTCTGAAGAAGCCAGCAAGTCAGGCTCGACGCCCTCCAAGTTGACTCCAAATAGTTCTTCATCAGACTTCTTCTGACGCTTGATCGCCGATTGGATCTCTAGGTCGAGCTTCCTCTTCTTCGTCGAGGCTAGACCATCGCCAATAGCGAAGCTCGCCTCAGTCATAGAGTCCTCCTCGCCGGGACCCCAGGAGGCAAACTCGTCCTTGACGTCGTCGTCTGTGCTCATACGGCTACGGGGTCGAGAGTCAGGCTCTTCAGTATCCCTCGCCAGAGACTCCCTGACGGCGGCCTCATCATCGGATTCTGCATCGCTGTCGTAGCTCTTGAGACGATGGTGCAATGATCGGAAGGCACCACGGCTCTGTTGTGCTGCGCGCTTGCGGGAGAACGGGTCTGTGAAGCCATGATTGCGTGATGCTCCTTGGGCAGTAGCCTTAGCCTTACGGATACGCGGCAGAGCTGCGATTTCCAGGCGACCTGTGCGACGCTCAATTGGATCCGCGCCAGAGTTAGGTGTGCTAACTCCAGGGCTCTCATCGCCGGCATCGATGGTGACAGACGGAACAGATCCAGCTGGGTCCTCCAAGTTGAGCTTTCGTCGCTTGCTTGCATGATTTGCTGGGTCCAGAAAGCCAGTCAGAGCAGGAGCCGCAACTCTTGTCCGTATATGTTTGATCAAATGTTCTGCTAGCTCTCGGGTGACCACTTCGCAGGCCTCGAGGACCGGATCAAAGTTCTTAGCTCTCTGTCGCTTCTCTTCCTCAAGATCTGCTTCCTCTTCCCGACGACGACGGTCCTTATCTTCGCGCACTCGTATATCCGTTCGGCGTTTGCGCTCGGGGCTGGGGGTTCGCCGTCGTGGTGGCGGAGCTGCAGATTCGGAATCTTGGCCTGTCGAAGGCGGGAGCGATAGTTGCATCACCATGTTGTACGTAAACAAGTCGGTATGATTGGCTGCTCTGTAGCACTTCGAGGCCTCGTTGCGTCCGTGAAATGAGTTGGGAAACAGAATGTAGTATCCCGTTCGGTCAATGCGAATGTCCTCAAAGGCGAATGCCTTGAGTCGCTTCTTCATGTGAGGTATGGTCGTAACCATGACTGGGACATGCTCGTGCGCAACGAAGATGTAAGGCTCGCCTGCAAGCTGCTTCGCGATAACCTTCTCTTCGAGTGCAATGTGCATCTTCGGTTGGCTTGGAACCCAAGCAGGTACCCCAGCCACGGCCTGTCTGTGAGAAGAAGGACCTTTTGGTGCCATGGGTGGTGGCCCAGGAATCTTTTCGGGCGCGATTCGAGGGCCGGTCGGCGGCGCCTTTGCAATAGAGGCATCTCGTGTAACTCTGTCTTTCTGCAAGACCTCCTCAAGCATGCGGCGACTTTTCTTTCCCTCAGGATCGTATTCGACTCGAATTGTGTTTGCCTCGATTCGTTGCCCGTGCATGGCTTTAACAGCTCGGCGCGCTGATTCAGTGGCCACAATGGGGTTGGGTCTCGATCTGCTAGGATGCCCATCCTTATACCGAAACGTTGCGAAACCCAGGTAGCTGCCCGTCTCAGGATGCATTTTGTTACTGCTCTCAGCAATGTCGCCAAACGAGGCAAAGGCCGCTGTCACCTTTGAAAAGGTGATGAGAGGATTGAAGCCAGTAACGACAATCTGTGTAGGCGGCCCAGGACCAATTGACGTCTTGGGACAATAGGTGTATGGTTTCAAGTTATATGGCGATTGTCGCAATCGGGACTTTGGGAGATGAAAGTCGGTGTTGATATAACCCAATCGCCCGCCTTTGGCGAGACGAGGGTCTGGAGGGGGGGCGTCATCTTCCTACTCAGTTTATTAGCCAAAGCTCTCACACACAAAAGATGACGCCTCCCCCTCCAGATTTATTTTATTTGTACGTACCAATCCAAACTCCTTATATATCGGCTTGGCATCTTTTCTGCCGTGCTTCGATAGGGTCCGGTCGTTGAAGGGATCATATGTGCACTTGATGCCTTTTCGCGATCGGTTGGGATCTCGCGCAGGAATGCGCTCAATTTGAGGATATGGCTCCGGGAGTGAGCTGTTTAGGCGGGATGTTGGGGTATTGAGAGAGACCGCTGCCTCGCCCCGATCGGTGTTTTGTGCTTGTGGCATAGTCGTTTTCGGTAAGGCAGCATTGCCTGAGTATGAAGGTGATTCAATGGAGGTGAGCGGCGTGCCGCTGGATGGAGGGATATGAGATATGCCGCTGGAGACAGCTTGTCGCGCAGCTGTACTGAAGACGGATGAGCCCGTACTCGCGTAAGAGCTCGCAGATCCGACAGCGTTGAGAGTATCTCCTAGGGGCGACTCATGACCGTCGTGTGGCTGTTGCGAGGTGTCGGAAGGTAGGCCATCAGCCGTGGATGACCTTTCTCCAGTTATGCCGTTGACCGAAGGGGTGCCGCTGCTCTTGGAGCCGCTAAGCAGGCCACCTGCCGAGTCTTGAACCTTAGCCTTTGCCTTCTCTCGTTCGTTGGCTCTGTCCCTAGCGACGCGGGGGGCTGCAGGGAAGAACTGCGCGAAGCTCGCCGAAGATTGGCGGGTCATCGTGAGATTGTTCAGCTTTCACCGTTCTCGCCTGCCACCAACCATCGTCTCTTGTGTGTCGGATGATCTTAGAGGACAGAGGTCATCGCCGAAGACGGCGGCCGCAGCGGTGTAGCGGGAGGAGAGGTCGCGGAGTCGCTGTTCACGCGACCGATGCGTAGCTACCAACACGAGTGAATGGCAAGGGCAAGGAGCCCGACTGCGTCATTCAAGGAAGGAAAGTTCCCAGTCGCAAGGGGCTCAAGGTCGATGCGATCAACCAACAAGTTTGCAAATGAGGCCGGATGAGTCGTGCGATGCGACTGACGGATATGAGGCTGAAGAAAATGTAGCAGTGAGGTCAGAAAGTTGGAGGTTGAAGAGTGTCCAAACCTTTCAGGGATGCGATTTAGCGGAGACCAGCCACGGAACAAGGCGAGGGAGCACCGTTACGCATGGATGCTCAGACGGGACCTGCGTTACGAGGACCGGTGTAAGAGAAAGTATTCCTCTGCAAATTCTGGGTGATGAGTACAATCAATAATTGGGGTGGAGATGAAGCTGCTTCTTTTGACAGCTGGCACCGGAGAGAGGCGCGTCGCCAGACCTTCCACTTTGCTCAATTTTCGCGTCTCGCTGTACAAGGACGTGAAGGACAGGGGCACCACAGAAACTGTCCTGTTGCATCATGGCCGAACCAATGGAGTCACTGATTAACCTCATGCCAATAATTATATCTTCCAATCACTGTGTCAGAGAGATACACTCCTTGTTTACACCACTCTTGGCTGCTAATTCGAGAGTTTTGACAGGCCGCAAGCACGTGAGGACATGAATGCCAGTCGAAATTGAAAACTGCAAATCATTGAATTGAAGTTAAAGTCATAGATGCAGGCAGCTGTGGCTTGCTATGAAAGACAAAGCCTCTCCCTGGTGTTAATTATCCCTGCTGGGTTATAAGTGATACAGAGTCTAACAAAGTAAATAAATACAGTCATTGTAAGCCCTGATCGCGAACACAGTCTTTGATCGCCCGTTTGATCTCGCGGGTCTTACATGTGGGCAATGATGCCAGCCAAAAACGCCTCCCAGTCCCCGGTCGTCCTGCTGTTTTACAAATGAGGGTAGTCATCTCCAAACGCCATCCACCAGCCTAGTTGAGCGGTTAAAATGTCAACTTCATCTCAAACTCATCATCCTCGAACTCTTCATTTCGTGGACCCGCACTGCCGACACCGTCATCTTCGTCGTCGACGGCAGGGTCGAAGATGGATAGAAATTGGAGTTTGCCGAGTTCCTCGCTGTCGTGCCGGGCCTCCTGTCTTTGCTTCTGGGGAGATGCGTCGCGTCTCATAGTCATCTTTGGAGCTAGGGTCGTTTTCGCGTCTGTCGAGACCGACCGAGCCGCAGCGGCGGATGCTGGGCGCCCGCTAACAAAGGAAGAGGCTGAGCGACCCTTTGTGTAGCCCAGTGTGTTTCTCGACACGGCTTCTCCCACGGCGCTTTCAACGACCGAAGACTTTGGGGCCACAGCAGGCCTGTTGGGTCTGGTCCTCGGAAGTATCGAAGAAATTGGTCCCCTGCCCGCGGGCTTCTGCTCGGCCACTTTCTTCTGTCTGATGGTATTACCGGTGGACATTGACAAGGCAGACGCGGCTCTTCTCGAAGTAATCGTGGGCGGGTACTTAGGAGCACCTGCAACCGCCTTCCTGGTGACGGCCGGGTTAGGAGCCGGGGCCGGTGCCTTTCGCTGAGAAATGGCAGAAGTCTCAGGAACGTCGGAGACGGACCAATCCATTTCCTGAATGTCTCGGAGGATACGCTCGTCACTCTCCCTGAGAGCCTTCTGAAGCCTCTCCTGGTGCTGCCTATCCTGAAGCCTGACTCCATCCTCGCCCATGGGGTTGTAGAAATGGTTGTAGTATCCCTTAAACATGTTCTCGGGTTTGAGTCCCTCGAATGTAAGATCTCCATTCGAGAGGACATCCGACTCGTAAGGCAGATCCTTGACGGTAGGAGGTGCGTACTCGACATCAGGCTCCTCGGCTGGACCAGCCTGATCGTTGCGGACCTCAAGCTTGAGAGGGCCGACACTGGGAGACCGCTGCTTCAGCTTCTTGGTCGTCGTGGGTTTCGTCTGGGTTTTCTCGCCATCCTTTCCTCCGGTGTTCTGGGTGGCCCTAGCCTTTGCATTGGTGGTCTTGTTCCCGAGAGGCGCCCGAGCTCGTGTCTCTGTCAAGGATGTCAGTCACCTTTGATACCTCATACGACCAAATTGGGAGCGTTACCAGAAGGAGTGACCAGGTTCTGCTTTTTTGCCGTAAGTTGGATGTTCCCATTGGTATTCGACTTGGCAGCAAGCATGGATTTGGCACCTCCGACAGCGTTCTCGTCGTTGAGAGGAATCTTCAAGGGCGTCTTTGGGTATCGGGCTCCAGGGGTCTTGGGAGCCAGCTGCCCTTTTCCGGGAGCAAAGCGAGCAGCTTGAGCAGCGTTGACCGCGTTCTCGTCACGAAGGGCCAGCATTTTGCATAGAGCCAGAGGGGTTTTTGGTTTTGTCGTAAATTCGGTGTCTTCTTTGGTCGTGTTGTATGGTGGTGGCGTGCTGCTGTATTGTCGTCATCAATCCTTTCACTTCAGAGTCTGTCATGGATTGGAGAGGCGATAGAGATCGTAAACGGACCCGTATGTTTGGGGCGCTGTTGTCGGGACAACCACAAAAGAAGCTCAGACCCTGCGGAAACCCCCGTAGGAGGTTCACCTCTAGCCTTTAGGTGGGAAAGCAGTGAAGCACCGTGCCACAGCCCAACCCCACCTGACTGACCCCACCGCCCGCGTCTGAGCTAATCCAATTGCAGCTTCCTTTCAGTGTGTGAAGACCAGGCCCGTCTGGCTGCTGCTGGCATGCTGCTCTGGGTGGTCCGCCACAGGTCGCATGGAGCGGACTTGCATGTAGAGGGGCAGTTATTTCAACACCTCACACCCTTTCCTCCCGTTTCCATCCCCGACAGCTGCGATCCCACATCCACCGATCCCGTTCCCATTCTCAACTTCAACTCTCCTTATCGCAATCAACCTGCACCGACTCTACTACAACGTCAAAGCAACTCGCAGCTATTCATCATGGACCGTATCAAGGAGGTAAGTTTGCCATTCTTACTCTGGCCCCACCCGACTGCTACCGGCGGTCTGGAGGGGTAAGATATCCCCAATGTGTCGTGTCATCGATGCTGACGACGACGGTGTCAATCAGAAAATGAACCAGCTTCGTCTGGAGGCCGACGACAACGCCGCCAAGGTTGAGGAGCTTCAGACCAAGGTCAAGTCCCTGGAGCAGGAGAACCTGTCCAAGGAGCAGGAGATCACCTCCTTGCAGCACAAGAACGGTCTGCTCGAGGGCGAAGTCGAGAAGCTTGAGACTGCAGTTAAGGACTTCAAGAAGGCTGCCGACGAGAGCGCTGGCACTGGCACACAAAACGAGACTCTTCAGCGCAGACTCCAGCTCCTCGAGGAGGAGGCCGAGGAGGCGGACAAGACCCTTCGGGAAGCCAACGAGAAGTACGTTCTGGACCCTGTTTGCCGAATCGATGATAACCCCCTTTTCACTTTCCGACCCCCATCGTGTTCATTAAAGCCCGCCCCACCGAACGACCGACCGATGCATTACTTATTACTTACACCGTCTTTTCATAGGCTCCGACAGACCGACGTCAAGGCCGGCCACTTCGAGCGCAAGGTCCAGGCTCTCGAGTCGGAGCGCGACCAGTGGGAATCCAAGTACGAGGAGATGGCCAAGAAGTACGCGACGGTCCAGAAGGAGCTCGAGGACTTCCAGGCCGAGATTGGCAACATCTAAGGTCCTTGTTGCGCGTGCCATTTTATGCAAGGCTTTTCTACATGATAGACTCCTGGCTTGGGACACTGTGTTGGTGATCTGACTTAGCTATCCCAACAAGCGGTGGAATGCAAATGACGGGACGGTTCGCGACCGAGTTATAGCAGCCTTATTTTTACTCCTTTTTTTGTAACCCCGGCCAACAAAGAGTTTTGTTCTGTCAGATGCCCCCTGGTCTTTGTTCAACAGACACAGACATGACGGGAATCTACACATAACCACCTCGGACCACGCTGGGCGTGAGGCAACTCCTTGGGCAAGCAGCTGCAGCAACCAATGCGAGATATTATACCCTCCTTCAACTATTCTTTCTTGAATCTTGCCTTTTTGGCTTTTGCCTTCCTCGCTCCCAGTGACCTTTCTAATTTTGTTTCATAGGTGAACTTCTTCTTCTGCTTCTTGGGCCACTCTTTCCGGTTCTTTGACTTTGCCGGCTGGTCAGATGCCGACTTGTCTGCCTTGGATTCGTCTTGGCTGTCGTTGTCTTCCTCGTCGCCGTCTTGGTGGATCTTTTCGAGACCGTCTCGTGTCACGGATATGGCCTCGACCTTGACCGATGTGTAGCGGTCCTCGTCTATGTACTCGTCTTCGTAGTCCACAATATCTGTCTGATCCTTGGCCGGCTCGTCGATGCCGTCCCATTCTTCGAAATCTGATCCGTTGATCTCCTGATTCCCGTCCGAGTCTGCCTCCTGGGCCTCCTTGAGTAAAGCGCTCACGGCATTAACGTGGTCTTCGACTTCTCGTTGGCGCTCTTGTCTGATCTGTAGTAACTATGTTAGCTCATGCGACAAGTAAGTGCAGGCAGCAGCATGCGCGTGCGTGTGCAAGGGAAGACGGGGAGGGGTTATGGTTGCCTCTCTTACCTGTTTGCGCATCTCAATCTTCTCCTCCCGCGCCTTGGAAGCAGCCTGCTCCTGTGCCCATTTCTGCCGCTGCAGCTTGCGCTTGTGGAAACCCGTGAGGTAGTCTTCCCGTGCGTCGAAATCGAAGTTGACCTCCTCGATCGCGGACACCGCCTTTCTCTTCTTCGAGGGGGGCGCACTGAGCACGGATTTCTTGGGCCGGGGTTTGGCGAACATTGTGGCTGTTTGGTTGAATGTGTCGATGATGGTGACTGTTGACTGGCTCGTGGTGGTGGTTTTTTTTTCTGGCGGCGCAGTGAAATTTTTGGATCCTACTAATCAATGGGGGGTTTTCTGGCAGCCTTGCAGGTCCATGCCGCTGCAGCCTCTGTAAGGGCCCACTGACGCGGGCCAAGCCGAAGAGCTAAATGCGCTGGAACGAACGTCAGGTCTCGCCCGCTAGGCGTGCATCTGTCAGCGAGACCAGCAGGTGACATCCCGAGGGGGCTTCACTGCATGATTTCTCGACTGCCGTGCATGCTGACATGCTCACATTTACTACGATGACTGGGGGTTTCAAGGTTCATGAAGCTCCGCCCACGTGAATCTGTATGTTTGATGCGGCCATGTATGTTCAGATGGTTATTTTACACCTCACCAGTTCTCACAATTGTATCTCGATTATTGAATCTGAGTACGGCCCAATTCCTGACTTTCTTGCACGGCCCGACGGGAGTCTCTTGTAACTATCGCTCGACAACTGAGAGTTGCTCAGCACGGATAAATCCTTTCCATAAGTATGCATGAAATCCTAAAAGGCTTCGAAGAGCTTGAGAATGAACTACACTATATGATTTTTAAATTGAAACAAGGAGGCATTCAGAGGCATCCTTGATGTAAATTGTATTAGGATGCTGACACTTAAGTCCATCCGAACGTAAATGTTGAAGCCTCAAAAGCTACAGTTGAATACACTGACAGGCGTTTAATGAATTAAGGCGACATAGCAGTTGCATCGCTCTTGTAAAACGATATGCAGGGGCGGGGCAGGTAGTCACCTTGATGAAACTTACCTGGAGAGGCCTTGTTGGGTGGCGATTGGGGAAATGTACTTAAGCGGGCGTTGGTGCGGTTGCTGATTACGTTGAGCCCGCATAGACGCATGTATCCAAGCTACGTCGTCCCTGGAGCTAATCCGCAGCATAACTCCTGGCAGCACGACGAAGGCTAGCCATCGCATTCAAACGGGCAAGCTTTCAACCACATCAACCAGCCATGCGTCTATCAAGAACAGCAGGCCTCATGGCCTTGTGCGCCTCGGTGCAGGCCTTCACCGACTCGTCGCCCTTCATCATGCTCTCGACCGCCGAGTACGTCACGAACCACCGAACCCTTCCTTCTATCTTCGTCATTAAACATTGCTAACATGCCTTTCTTTCCCTTAGGTTCGCGAAGTCCAACCCCGCCCAGCTTCAGACCCAGTCCCAGATCGTCAAGGCCGTCCAGGATCTCCTCTCCTCCTGCCCGACAGACCGCTACCTCCTCGTCTCCCAGCCCAACGTCAACGCGGCCGACATCCGCAACCCGGACAGCGGCGACTGCCAATCCCCCAACCTGTGCCGCGCAATCTCCGACAAGGACGCCCGCGGCGTCTACAGCGTCGCCGAGGTCGTCGGCGAGGTGCCCATCGGAAAGCTGGCCGACTACATTAAGAAGTCGTGCGCGGGCAAGACCGTCGAGGTCGAGGAGGCCAGGCTCACTGCCCTTGGACGGGATGCGAGAGCCGCCACCCTCGCCGACAACGACCACGTCCTGGGCCAGCGCCTCGAGAAGTTGCGCAACGCATCGGATTCGTACACCGTCATCTACCTCGCCAGCCCTTCGGAGCCCACCTACGAGGCCGAGTTCACCACCGAGCCTCTGCACGCGGAGCTCAAGCGCCACGAGGCGAGCCTGCGACATGTCAGGAGGGCCGAGAACCAGACCGAGTGGAGCAAGCTGCCTCTCTTTGAGAAATACGTCTTCTTCTCCCCAGGTAAGTGATTTGAGTCTCGTCGATTCGTGATGCTCTGAATGAGACTGACACGACAGCAGGTGTCTTCCACGCTATCATTGCCACTATTGTTCTCTTTAGCATTCTTGGTGTCGGTATCAGGGCTCTCGCCAGCCTTGAGATTCCGTACGGTGCTTTCGAGAAGGAGAACGGCCCTGCGGCTCACAAGAAGGCCCAGTAGAAGTGTATCAAAATAGCCTCAAGGCATTTCTCTGCAGGAGTACCTCCTTCAACGACCAGTGTATTTCATTTGAGAACGTCGGGAGTTATCGGCTGGCTTTTGATAGGCATGTTTCGAGTAAAGGGGGAGGAATCAATGGCATGATGGTAGAGAGCACAGGAAAGGGGCCCTGTGGTCTGTAGAGACCAATGTAGTGTTTTTCTCGCAAATGGCATGAAATGTATTTCTATAACAAATGGATCTTTTTATCTTCCTCTGTTTTGCCGCCCACCTCCCCTTCCTCCCACACCAGAGAGCCTCCATGCTTGTTGTGAGAGGAGAAAAACGCCATGAACGCCTACTACAGCCTCTCGTCGGCCGTCTCAAATCAAAAATTTCATCATCTCTCTAAACTTGGTCCCCATAACCGGAGCACTGCCTCTTAGACCAAGTGACTCGGCAGCAAAAAGTTGGCGATGCCCTCGCGAATGGCGTACTCGTGTCCGCAGTTGCCGCAGACGAGCTTGCCCTCCATGATCTGCGTCTCCATGAGGAGGTGGTGCAGTTCCTTGAGCATCGTCTCGTCGCCCTCGAGCTGCTCTGCCGAGGGGGGCTCCGTAGGGAGTTCGGGGAAGCCCAGCTTTTAAGGTGTGACTGTCAGCGCTCTGGTCTTGCACGTACATGAAACAAAAGACATATGAGACTGAATGGTGTATGGAAACAGGACATCCTCATACGTTAGACCAAAAGTGAGGGAAAACAGGACGTGAGATAGAAATAAACTAAAGAAGAAAAAAAGGCCTTACCTCAGTTGCGTTCGTTCGCAGAGCGGCCCAGTCTAAGCGGGGCAGGACGTTGAAGAGAAGTTGGGGGTTGACCTCGATGTCGTCCTGCGCCAGCTCTGCGTCCTTGGGGTGGAGGGGAAACGAGGCCGCAGAGGACTTGCAGGCCTTGACCGCGCAGGTCAGAAAGTTGAGACTAAGCAGCTTCATGATTCTTTTTCTTTTTGGTCTTTCGGGCGTCAGGTAACGTGGGTTTTTCGCTATTCCAATGTAGAGGGGTGTTTGGGTTGAGGTTTGACCAGTACGGAATTTTTTTGGTACCCCACACGTGATGCGCTTTGGGATGGGTGCGCTTCAGCTATTGGACTGCGCTTCAAGAGGACGCAAGATGTAGAGACGATATTTTCAACATCACGACAAAAATTGCACATTTGGATGTAGTTGGCATACGCATATGTTGGCCATTTCTTGTTAGTTGGCATTTGTTGTCTTGTATTTCCTTTGCCTAGTCGAAGCCCGCTTCCTCTTGTCAAATCTCCTTTTACGCCATGGTCTTCTCGTAGCCGACATCTCTTGCGGCCCTGGACTTGCTGAACTTGATGTAGGCGACGATCGCAGCAACAACAACACCACCGAAGAGACCCTTCTGGATTAGGGACCAGCCCTCGCCGGAGCCCACCTCCAGCGGCGTATCCTCGTTGGAGTAGCCTGACGCCCACTCGCTAGTGCCGTATTCGCCTGCAACGAGGGGGGCGTAGCCATCAGCAAACCAAGTACGTTTTTGTGTGTTGTTTCATCAATTTCGGGAGGTCATAAGCGGGAAGAGTTAAGGTGGAATGGTGTAAAAAGTGTCGGGTTGGTGATAAAACGAAGAGACAGCGAGGGACGACGGGTTGTCACAGTACGTGCTCAGAGTTCCACGTGGATACCTTCAGGGGGCACCTCCAGCTCTCCGCTCTTTGCGATCTTGATCGTCTTGGCGGGGCGGTCGCCGGGCTGGGTCTGGGCCTGCTCGATCTTCTCGACGACGTCGAAGCCCTCGAGGACCTCGCCGAAGACGACGTGACGGCCATCGAGCCAACTGTGACTATGGGGTTAGCGCAGTTCCGTGGATGTGTTGCCTTGATATATGTCGGGGAGGGTATGCTTACGAGGTGATGACGGTGGTGATGAAGAACTGGGAGCCGTTGGTGTCCTTGCCGGCGTTGGCCATGGACAGGAGACCCTTCTTGGAGTGCTTGAGCTTGAAGTTCTCATCGGGGAACTTCTCGCCGTAGACTGTGGAATTTCCATATCATCAGTCATCATCCAATACCAAGGAAGCTTTCGAGACGGGGAGCAACTCACTGGACTTGCCACCGGTACCGTCGCCCTTGGTGAAGTCACCACCCTGGATCATGAACTGCTTGATAACACGGTGGAAGGTAGAGCCCTCGTAGCCGAAGCCCTTCTCGCCGGTAGCGAGAGCGCGGAAGTTCTCGGCAGTCTTGGGGACAGTCTTTCCGTACAGACCCATGGTGATGCGGCCGAGGGGCTCATCGCCGTGGGTGATGTCGAAGTAGACCTTGTGGGTGATCTTGGGGCCCTTGGCAGCCTCAGCGGTCTGCGCGAAGAAGGCCAGAGCCACTCCGGCGAGGAGGAGGGCAGAGACGAGTCTCTGAATGCTGAACATGATGGACGCTGGGCACTGAACTCGATCAATTGGGAAAGAAATTCAGTTCGTGTGGATGCAAGTGAGAACCGTCTGAGAAGGGAGGAGAGGTTATCGCCAGAAGGGACAGTGTGTTAAATAGAGGGACCCTCGGAACCGTAGAGCTACGTTTCAAACTCCCCTCTCTGAAGCACGCGAATGAGGAAGTCGAGCTCGGACCCTGGTCGCCGTAACTGCCCAATGGGGGGAGGCAATCCGTGGAAGTGGATGCGTCCATGGCATAAAGGGTCGCCCTCTGGGCGGATTAGTGCTATCAATGCAGCCGGGCAGCCACTGAGGTGGACTGCGTTCAGCAGCACCTGCCATCGCCGCGTTGCAATTGGATCCACTATTTTCCGGCGCCGACTCTCCGTGAGTGCGTCGATGATTTCGAAGTTTCGCGATTCCATAATCAATCGAAAGAACCGGAGCAAGCCGCGGCGACAATAGTGACACTCTTTTCGAGGACTTTGGTCATAAATTGTAGAAAATGGTAAGATTAATACCTTGTGACAGATACTGGAGCGGCAACTGACTGACCCTCTACAGGTTTTCATTCTAGGAGTCAACTTTTCCGAGCAAAAGCTCGTGAAGGTACGGCAACCCCTTCGCCTGCGAACGACTACGACCCAATTGCAATACCTCATCCGACGATGCTAACCATCTTATTAAATTTTGCAGAAGGCGCTCGAGTCTTTCTTCGCTCTCGGACCGACTACATCATCCCGCATTCTGGCCAAATACTCCATCTCCCCCATGTCCAAAGTCGGCGCTCTACCACCGAAAACCGTCACGGCCCTTACGGCAGAGCTATCGACAATGACGATAGAAAGCGATGCGCGGAAGATCATACAACAGAACGTCATGAGACTAAAGGATATGGGAAGCTACCGAGGAAGAAGACACGCCATGAACCTCCCCGTGAGAGGACAGCGGACGAGGACCCAGATCGAGTCGGCCAGGAAGCACAACTCTGCGAACAGACGATGGTAAGCGCCGGCTATGGTGGCTGTCGACTTGGTATCTGAAGGGCGAATGGGTTAAACTTTGAGGTGGTGCTCATTGGATGACCACCGAATGTACAGGATAGACGGGTCTGTGGTGTACCCAAACATGTATGACTATGAAAACTATACCACTTGTACTATCAAATATTCTTTCTAGTTTTACCCAGTGTCTTATCTACAAGCCGAAACTAACTTGGGCGTGTATGCGAACCCATTGATACAGGTTCCAGTTCACTACCCTTACCACTTCGGGCTTGCAATATCATCCTCAAGAACAGGTTGGCCGTCCTTTTGCAGCTTCTCGGCAACCGCCTCAACCTCCTTCCAGACGCGAAGAATATTTCCGCCAACGACCTTTGCCGCTTCCTCGTCACTCAAACCCTGCCTCAGCAGCTCGGCAACAAGGTACGGGTACTTGGACACGTCCTCTAGACCTTTTGGTACCGACGCAATTCCGTCAAAGTCGGAGCCGAAGCCGACGTGGTCGAAACCGATCAGGTTGCCAATGTGCAGGACATGTCTGACGACCTGGTCGAGCGTGGCGTTGGCGGGGACGTATGTGGGCAGACCGTTCTCATTGCCGGAGTCGACGCAGGAGATGAAGTCGGGCGCAAAGTTGACCATGACGACTGCGTTACGCGCCTTGACGAGCTTGAGAACGTCATCCTTGACGTTGCGAGGGTGCGGGCAGACGCTGAACGCGGAGCTGTGGCTGTAGATGACAGGCGCCTTACTACCTTCCCAGTCCTTGCCCCCGAGGACATCAATCTGTGTCTCTGCGCTGTGAGGGTTGTTATGAACCATTTTCTGTAGGGATCAAGGGGTCCTCGAAACCTACCTTGTATGGGAGAGGTCGACAATCAATCCGACGCGATTCATCTCGTGAATGAGCCGGCGTCCGGCAGGGCTCAACCCGTGCCACAGAGGCTCGGCCTTGCGCAGAGGACTTTCGAGCAGCGCGGCGTCGGCGAACTTGTTGTGGCAGTTGTGTGTGAGAGTCGAGTAGCGGACACCCAAGGCATGATAGCGTCGGAGGTTGGCGACAGAGTTGCCGATTTGATGCAGACCCTCGACGCCCAGAGGGGAGATGAGCTGGCCCTTCTCCCATGCCTTCAAAGCGGTGCTGCTGTCTGCGCTGGAGGAGAAGTCTTTGGGATAGGAGTCCTTAATGCGGGTCATGAGATCAATTTGGTCGAGAGTCCACTGGACGCCTACGGTCACAAGTGTTAAGAGTTATAAATTTCAGGTCACTTGAACGGTCAAGACTCACTCTCGGCGTAATTCTCGTCGGAGAAGTCACTGCCATTGGCAGGGCAAGGAGTGTAAACGCTCCAGAAAGCACCGCCGTTCTGGCCCTTGCGGAGTCTGGGCAGATCAACATGGCCAACGAGACCACCGTTCTCAAAAGGCTCAGTGAAGTTCTTCTCGTAGATGTGGTTGTTGAAGAATCCTCGGACGAGAATAGGGAGGTCATTATGGCCGTCTACAAAGAAGGTCAGTCAGCACTTCTCATCGTGTCGTACAGTATGCGCAGAGTGGTCGCACCGATCAATGGGGTATGAGATAGAATGTTGTGAGCCCTCTCCTCGACAGTAAGGGGTACACCCCATGGCTTTCTCATTTGATGATAGCATGACTTCATAGGACGGACCGTAAAGGTCAGTGTCACGAGCCAAAGGGCGAAACAAGCAACAACGGCTTTCTTCGCAGGAGACGGGCTCTTGCGAGGAGGCAGCTGGGCCTCATCGCGAGTCTCGTCACATATGAGTTGTTTCTTTTCATCCATGGCGTCGGGTGTGACTTGGGTGAGTTGCAATCTTAGGTCTGTGTCTCACGGCTGTGTTATCCGTCAGCAATGCTTGCCCAATTACACCATTATCAAGTGAAAGTAACGAGTTGGTAATCTCGTATGAACTCAACCGACTTACTATCAGTAGGCTGTTTGACGACCGCCTCGAAACTGCCTTGTTGTGAAAGTCAATGATCCTACTTAGAGGGAAGTCGAGGGGTTCAGACTATAGGCATGTTACAATTCGTCTGGTTGATTAGGAATCACGTCACAGAGGGAGTGCCTGGGGTCAAAGCTCCGAGCTCCGATTGCGTGAGACTCTTATCTGCGACTTGATCCTGGCGATAAGGGACCGTTTAGGAACCCCAAACATTTTATCTGAGGACTGTCCTTGGTTTCTATTGAAGACGTGTATGATAATTTCTTATGGTCCCAATAGCAACGTTCATTGACACCCCGCACTTTGGTGTTTACTGACAAGACATGAACTGATAGGCAGACCGATCATAGTATGTACTCCGGTTTCTGGTAGATCCAGCAAACTTAGTCTTATCACGAATATTCTGAGCTTCAGCAAGCCGCGCGAATGTCAGCCCAGTAATTGTCATAGGATTTTGGCTGGCGTGAACCATGGCTCAAATGTCGTTGTTTCTTTGGAAAAGTTATGCTTTCGAGGTCTCTTAAGTCTACAGTGGAATACATAATTGGATAAATAAGTCTTCTTGCTTCAGGACAGTGCATCAAGACCCGAGAGTAGGGACAAGCACTGATTGTAGTAGAGTGGGCTTGTGGATTAGAATTTCGGGAACGGGCCTCATAGACGGGAAGCTCCCAGTCATGACTTTTCAACTTCGGATGATGGCTGGCTCTTGCGTTTAGTTGGACTTACCCCAGCCAACTCAGCGATGAAATTCCCATATACTGGGCTCTGTGGGTAACGCCTGACAGAGAAGATTACGGATTGAATGGGGCAACCGTTGGGTTTCGTCCTCGCTAGTAGGCCGCAGACCAGGCCTTGGTGGTTATTAACAACGGCCTTTTGTTGTCTGGGGAACCGTCCCAATGGCAATGATGGGGCTCAGGGGTTGGAGGAAGGGGCTTGGTGATCGGCAATAATTCTCTTCAGTTTCAACTTACGGGGGCATTGGTCAATGGGAAGCCTCGTCCGGCAACAAAGAAGTGAACAAAGACAGTAGCCGATTTTGACGTCTTCAGAAACATCACCTCTGAATAGAGGCGAGGAAACCTGATCCTGGACTGCATAAATTGTGAAAATGATGCTTAATACGGCGCCAAAATGGCGGCGGCAACTGGTTTGGGAGGTCAGCCCTGTGAGAAGGGGGCTGAGAACGTCTTTGGGGTTCGCTTCGCAAGTGAGTGAATGAGCCGAGTCTCTCCAGTCCAGCTGGGAACAGCCCCATCATTCTGCAACAGAGACGAATGCAGGGGGTTCACACAAGCTGTCCTTGCCCTGACATCGGTACCTTTCTGCTTTGCTTCTGCTTGGCTGCCTCATTCAGGGTCATTTGCTTTGAATGGAGCATAACGGGGGGGAATCGGGGCCCTGACCAGTCACATAGTGGTAAAGGAGATGAGTGGAGATCGGGCAGTGGCTGGAGCATGATGTATTTTTGGCTTCAGATGGCTCCTCCCATCATCATCGGCCTTCGGCCAAGGTCCCAACTCCCCAGGCCTACCCGAGTCGCTCAGTGAGCCCGGCTGAGGGTCTGCCGCCTGAGGGGCCAGCTTTCGTTCGATCGTTCGTCATGAGGCAGGGGACCAATGGAATGGAATGCCACGTCTCCAAGTTCAAACTTGAAGGACCAAAGCAGGGCACGCAAGCAAGGCCCCAATGACCGTTGCCATTGCAGCATTGCTAGACTGCTTTACGGATAGTGTCTCTGTAGCCCCGGTTCGTCGGGCTGATTGTTGGCAGTGGCAGAGGAGGAGCCCTCCATGGGCACAAGGTATGCGTAGGAGAATGCCATGCTGCTGACCTTTGATCTAGGTTGATGCCGTGTGATGCCGTGTCACCGGGTTGGCTGCAGGAGGTGGATGATGGAGTGGGAAGAGGTGCCGCACGTCGTAAAGCTTCACTGATGGCCCTGCGGAGACCGAGGGACGCACAGCTGGACGCACAGTATGGATCCAGGTTCCTATTCGTAGTAATCTAGAAGCAGCAGGAGCCAGGAGGAAGGAATACGTAAGGTAGAGCATTGAGAGCAGAGCAGCGGCAAGTGCAAAGTGGAAGCAGCTTCTCCTTCCATCCTTCCTGCCCCCCCAACCTGCATTTCAACCTTGAACCTTGAACCTGTCAGCAAACACTGACCACCATCACCTTCACTCCAAAGCCTTTCCATTTCTGCTCTCCAAAATTTCCTCCTCCAACTGGCATGTGCCCCTGACAAAGGACGACGACAACGAACAATACAGCATCTTGCTTCTACTTCACCTTCCTGCACCTGTCTCTTTTATCTCTCGTTTTGTTTGTTGCCGACTGTCTATTCCAAGAACAGTCTGCACTGCCGACTCAATCGCGGCTGACGTATTCCTTCGCTTCTTGCAACCGCCAGAAAAGCGTCTCTAATCTCGAGCCGAAAATACCAGCCCATCTTTCCCTCCCACCTCCCGCCTCCTGCATAACGACTAAACGAAACATCTCTCGCCGCCTCCTTTTCTTTCTGCCCGCCAAACTTTTCAGCCTTAGCCCATATCGACACAGCATCATTGTCCGCGACAGGTAGGAGCTTTTAGGCATCATGCCGGGCTTCGAAGATTCCTTTTGGTCCAGCGACTATGCTGCAGGTAAGTCAACTCAATGCACTACTGCAACCTCTCGCGCTTTGGCTAAGCATCTCCCCGCTAGGACTTGGCGTCCTCTTCAGCAAGTTGCAGCAAGGCGTCCAAGAAAACCGACAAGTCCTGACCGTCGCTCGAATGCGTGCCGAAGCCGAGGAGATTTACAGTCAACGACTAGGAGATATTGCACCGAACGCAGACAAAGTCCAGGGCGGCTTCTCGAAAGACGATGGTGCCAGCGTTCGCAAGGTTCGCACAACGTCCCCACCGAGAGCTTTCCCGAGGCTCGTGCTAATCCTCATCACAGGCCTTCGATGGTGTTCGGACCGAGATGGAAGAGGGCGCCAAAAACCACAAGAAGATTGCTCAGAACATTCGGGATTTGGTCGTCAACCCTT